GGAGTAATTAACTTTCCAGTCTAGGAGCGGAGGTCCCTAGGACAATCAAGGGAGAAAAGTGGAGAGCGGGATCCTACCCAGAGAAGCAGTGATGTCTGAGATGGAGGCAGACACGATGATGTGGAGAGATGGAGCAGCTGGGGACTTTAGATCCTGAGAGGGAGAGTGACTGTGTGCTGAAGACCGGGAGGTGTGGGGGGCAGGCTTGCAGGGTATACCCTTTGGTTGGTTGATGATGCATGGAGGGAATTGTAACCATGGCAAGGAAACTATATACGATAGAATGAATGTGAAACTAATGTTCTCCCATGTAAACTATCACATAATTCACAATAAAACACTAAAAAAAAAAAATCAAACAAACAAACAAAAATGCCTAAATGCATAGCATTTACATGCTTTCATCAAAAATTCAAGACACTACTTTACAAGCTGACATATTCAGTAATCAAGTCCTTCCATCCTTTCTTCTAAAAACCTTCATTTCTAGATAGAAAAAATCTTAGCATGAGTCATCTTATTTAACTTGAAGCATGGAAAAGAGCCAAGGTCTCTAACACCATGTGAAGTGCTGAAGCAGTATGCTCAGAGTGCCAAAAATGCTCCTTTAACTAATAATAGGAAAGGGCCTACCTTTATTAACACAAATACCAAAACAGGGACAAAGTCATCTGCTCCTGGGACAGAATCTTCATTGGCCAGGCTCAGGAGGTTCATAATAGTAGAGCACATTCTCAGGATGCATTGCACTTTGTCCCGGGGGGTTTTGTAAGCACTTATTGTCCTGATTTCTGATTGTGCAGATGGCCACGGTGCCTCCCGGAGATAGACCTAAGTGAGATCACAAACAGATAAATAGATCTTCACTCTGAACCACAGGGGAGTAACCACAGCATCTCCATGACAGGAGACAACCTTCTTCTTTATCTAGGAAATTCATGGTGTAGTTCTTCCCACTCCACCTAAAACTCAAGAGTAAGTTTTAAATGATAATTTGCTTTGAACTTAAAAATACAGTATGTCCATTAATAGAAATGGGGAGTACAGTAACACAGAATCTTGAGTTCACAAAATTATCTTTCATAAATAGTTAAGAAGGGGATTTTGTATATTTAGTTGATTCCAAAAGCACAAACAAATAACTAACATAAAATACTTTAAAAATAAATATGTACCATTGTTCTACAGTAGTTTAAGAAAGAACAGATTTGGAAAATCAGACAATTAAAAATGTTTGTTAGTTAACATTCTAGTAGTGGGAATTTTAATGAAACAAGAAAGCTCAAATACCTGAAAATTTCCTGTAGTCTTCTTTTATGTGTGAGAGGTAAAAATGCTCATATCAATAACAATACAGTAATTTTGAGGTTTCACCACAGCTTCTCCCTTCTTCAAACAGGAAGTTTCTGCAGAAGCCTGATTATAAAAGTACCCATGCAGACGCTGCCCCAGGAAACACAGGCTGGGCACCAGGAGTCCCGTCTGTACTCAGATGGGCTGCAAGGGAGGGACTCCTCGTGCTGGGTCTCCCTTCTTGCCATTTCTAAGGTCCCTCTCCAGGCCTTAGAATTTCAGTACTAGGAAGCACCTTCAGGAACTTTACTTTAGAGTGAATTATATAATTATATATTGGTGTGGCGCTGTGGGTTAATGCATCAGACTGCAAAGCTGTTTGAA